AAAATATACCATATACATACCTTTGGCAACAGTTAAGTACAGACAATATCATATTGACATTACGTATCAACCGTATTGCCGAAATAGAAATAATCAAATACCTTACAATCATCATCTTTATTCATCACTACTGCTACTTGAAGAACTAGAAGAGCTTGAAGAACCTTCATCTTTAGACCCTTTAGACTTCTTCTTCTTCGACTTTTTCTTCTTACCCTTCTCTGAAGACTTTACTTCAACCGAACCTCCTTCATGAGTGGACTTCATGACATCACTCAAAAATACACTCTTAGAACAGCTGGAACCACCTTGTGCTTCTTTATCATTAGTAACAATAGCCGGAGATTCCCATACAGGTTGGGGAAGACCCTTACTCTCGGACTGAGGAGTCTCATACCAGTTACCCTTGTACTTAGAAGCCGAACCGGTAGTATTATACCATCCTCCACTCCACTTAGAGGAAGAACCATCATTACCAGTCACCTCCACCTGGGGGGTTGTAACCTTAGCATCATTACTAGTAATAGTAGCGACAGTAGCTTCATCAACCACCCTAGTAGGTTCTTTAGTAGCAGAATCAACATAACCATTCTTAGGATCTCTAGCGATTTGCTGAAGCGTCTCATCATGGTCACCCTTAGTCTCCCACGGAATAGCCATAGCTGAACCATCCATAGGATAGGCCTCTTCTTCTCCATCACGAACACGGCAGAACCTTGTCTCAGCAACTGTGAGAGCCCTATAGAAACACTTATCATCAGGACCTTCCGTCTCAATATAGAACATCTCAGACTCATACCTTTTCCAAGCTTGCTGAGCAATAGTATCAAAAGTATGACCTTCCAAGCGGTTCACCATACAATAGTTCTTAACCGACTTGAAATATATGTGTAAAGTCCTATAAAAGAGAACCTTATACATAGTCAATATCCTCAACGCCGTAAAATACAATGAGTGGGTAACCATACGATACATCTTTCTCCGCAGTGCCGATCCTCAGCAGATCTTAGTGGGAGGAGGATAGGATAATTCT